AAATGTGCATATTGTACAATCAAATTTGTAACCATATTGATTTATTTATCTTTCAATAAATTCAAATTTAATTTACGGACCAGGACCAATATTATAATATTGAGTTAAACCTCATTTACTAAACTAACTTTAAGATAGATTTCTTGCACTTATTTTTTGTGTTTTTTAACATTTTATAAGTTTATATTTTAATTTTGTTTATCTTTTGAAATTTCCTGTAATAGGCTTTGCCGAGGGCTTTGCTGTTGGAAAAAATCCGATACAACTGAATACCGAACGATCCTCGAGATCTTCACACATACATCATTCTTACAATACACCTTACGGGGTTGTTTCTGTCCCACCAGATCAGTAAGGCTTGTAAAACAAATTTTTCGATTCGGCATTTACTTTTATTTGAGGTACCTACATACAAAATTTCATTTAAATATCTTAACAAATAAAAAAATTTGGATTGCGCAAATACAAAAGTTGAAATGCGCATGCGCTGCTTTTTTTCATCTCCCTGAGATTTAAGGAATATTTGCTAACACAGAAAACCGAACATTCATATTTTGTTCTTTGTAACAAGAGATATAAAAGAAATCCTTTTTGGAGGTTTGGGCAGTTTTTAGGCTGTAACTTTTTGTCCCGTTGGTTTACGTAGCTGAAATCGTTAATAAATTATTATTATTATTATATCTTACTATCCTCGTAAGATAGAAAAAAAGTAAACTTTGTTTATTTTAGATATTTTTACGTAGAATCCAGTGGCGTAGTTCAAAAAAAATTTTGGACCACCATATCTAAGATTTTGCCCATTTTATAATTTTTTCAATGCAAAACCCTATATATATTGATGTATCACAACCTATTTTTTATATACATAACTATATAATATATTACAATTTTATTGATTGGTATCGGCTGCCATAGATACAAAAACAAAACAAACGTTCCATAAATCCATTGCCTACTATTTAAAAACCGTAGAAAATAAGGCTTTTATTCGATTTCTTTATTATCGTAAAAATTCATATTACCTAGTCTAGAACAATTCCAAAAATGAATGGACAAACTTTTATTTATTGTTGGGTGTATTGTTGCTTATTATTTAAATAACTAGATATAAATAAATTCGTTAACCGTTGTTTTAGTTCATTATTCATTTGGAAATTTTTCAGCACATGGTGCATAAATCCATCTAGTGCCTTCATGCTTTTTACGTATCTAATTATTTTCAATTACAATCTCGCATAAATATATATCTACCAAAAAACTGTACATTATTAATTTGTTTTTGGAGTAAGAAATGTGTTAAAATGCAACTTAGTGGAGTAATTGATTACGTTACTAATAGCATTCATTTATTTTACCTACTTTTGATTTAAAAAAACTGTAAATGTATGCTTGCTTTATAGTTTACATAGGTACTGAACAAATCTCATCGAAGCACAGACAGTTAATTTTCTGTTAAAAATTTAGATAAGAATTGTACTTACACTTTATGTTGAGGAAATGTTAAGTGGTACGTGTACGGAAGTTTGAAATTGTTATGCTAGCTGAAGAAATTACGCATTTGAACCGAAAAAAATAACGTTTCTTCAAATTGAAGACCTGTTAAATTAATTGGCAAACTTTTGCATATACTTGTCTCTCACCAACATTAACATATATTGTTGTAAAAGGATGAACTAATTATTACAGGTTTATGCAACGGAACAGCAAAATGAATTTACGAATGAGTAATTCGATAGGTAACTAATTCAAAGTGCATATAAGTATCGCCAATTAGAGCAAATATTACTTAATTAAATGCCCCAAAAAATATTGTAACTTTAATTTGGAAACTACCTCATCAATGTCAATTGTGGTAATTAGACATTAGCTTTAATAATTGTGTGAACACTTAATAGAAGTGGTTAAGTTTGCAATTACAAACGTTAGCAGTAGGTAGGCTTCTAGTGAATGAGCTGTGGGTGTAGCCAACACGAATATTAAATATTTAAAGTTAAAAATAGAATAATGTTTATTATTGCGCAACATATACAAATGATATTTTTGGGATAATGTCTGAAATCTCTGAAAATGATAAATTGTACAATGACGAGCACAAAATTCTACTTTATTTCGTTTATTACAGATTAATTTTTTAATTGTGGGAAAACATTTAAACAGTTTTAGAGATAGAATTGTGCGTACGTGTCTTTGTAATTTGGGTGTCTACCTACTCGCAAGATCTCTGGTAATTTCACACAGCATACAAAATTTGACAAAACAACCGGTTCCTTTTTATTCCATTTGTAATTATAAATTATGTTTGAAAACATGAATCTAAAGCCTAATTTGTTAGTCTCACGAGAATTGCTTTGTTTGCTAATTTTCTTTGAGTTTTGAAGGTTTCGTCGTCATTTTTCCCATTTGATGTAGAACCTGTAACACATTCGTATAGATTTACGGAGAGACGTTTATATAAGAACGTGAGAACACATTCCAGTTTAACTGATACTTTCGCACTAGGTACCACGGTAGGAATCAAACGAAATGGTAGTGTAACTGCATGACAAAAGATTTAATTATGTTGAAAATATACATATTTTATTGTATATCTATATACCTACTGAGGGTGTACGGATGCGAAAAATTGTCACTTAACTACATGCAAAGGTTCAACACAGTTGAGCCCTTAGAAACTATGGTTAACTATCTAATCGGATTTACAGACATGACATTACGGAGTTCCCTCGAGTTAACACTAACCACAAACGCAAAAAATAAATTAAACTGCAGTTTACAGCTGATTGGACAGTAGCAACCTCTATATTTCACGTAATCATTGCAGAGCAATTCGTAGCAAAAAATGTACAGTAACGGAAGCCACGACAAAACTATTACAGTTTACCTGCACTTTGGCAGCTGCTCCGATAATTCACACATTGCAGAACGTCTAATCCTAAATACCAAGTGTTAGATGAGTTCCAGCTCAGCAGACATATCAATTATAGATTGGTTTAGCTATTTCATAAGAGAACGGTACTTCATCGGTAAGAAGTGGTTAATGCTCGATACAGGAAAAATACATCCAAACGCTACAATGCCAAAATCAGACCTAATTCCAATTAAGTCAAACTTACGTACCCCATTAATAAATGGGTTTCGGATTGTGATATATGTAAAACAAAGATAGGTAATTTAAATTAAAGCATATGGCATAACCTAAAAAGAAACGTGTTAACGAAGAGGAATTCTATGAAACCTAAAGAAGATATAGCCACCACGCCATTCGCGTAAAGACGCTTAGACAAATAATTTAAAGAATTTTAGCGTGATGATTCTGAAAATTTTTCACTTCAGATACCAAATTCTTTTGCAAAAAACAGACCTGTTCAACGGCAAAAGCAAAAGTAATATTTTTCTTAATACTAATGGTACCAGCTATTCCTAACACACTAAGAGCGCATTCAGTCAGTTACACAAACGAAAAGTACATTCAACGAACCAACGGGACGTTACAATTTGATCGTGTGGTAAAGTTGTGAATTTAGATAAGGACAATCGTGTTCGTTTGCGACAAGTGTCACTTGCCTTATACCCGCTACTCAGGTGTGTGCATTGTAGCGGCTCAGTTACATTTACAGGGGTTGGACATCCCCGTTGTAGAAAACAAATAGTGTAACAGTAACAATTAATTTTTTGCAATGAAATGAGTAATACCACGGCTAGCTCAGTAATTAATAAATTTTCGATGATTCTTAGCTTGCTGAAGGGTGGTTCTTTTTCTGCACTTATAACCCCCGTGGGTCGATCTCTTCAAGAATGTTAGAATGACTTTAAACATAAATATTTTATACAAAATCCCCGAAAGCTCGATTCCTGTGTCTACTCAATGCAAACAATTCAAAATTTTCTCCAATCGATAGTTGATTTTCTGCTTTGGAAGGATAGCAGCAATATCGAAAATTACATCGGAATGCCTTGTGTAATACAATCGGACCTTTTGTATCGCCATGTAAAATTTGGGTACTTGTTGAAAGTGAATTTCGAAAGATGGATGACAATTTGAATCCCGAACAACCCGTGCTTCAGGTTTCTCTTCAATAGTTGAAATTTGGTTTATTCACACACGCAAGTATGCAAGGAAATTAGACGATAATCAGTTGACAAACGCCATCCTTATGACGGGATTTGACAACAGTACATCCACCTATGGTCAATAATTAGAACCAAATTAGATATCTGAAAACGTACGCTAACAATAGAGAAGAGTTGCCTCTCTTATTTATGAGTAGAAGATTGTGACAAGATACTGATTTCGGATTAACTTATTTTAATATCCCAAAAAGTAAATTCCTAGTTGGAGGGGCTTACTCTACCTATAATGCAACTTCGTTTAACTATTCCAATTCGAATTAATTAAAATAACATTCCTACGATTTGCTAACTGTGTAAATAAACGTCAACAGCATGTAATCATTTGATTGGCTAATGGAATTTGCGTTAAAGGTATCCACCATTCAAAATCACTTGATACGTTATTGACAGATGCAATTATGTATTAGCAGGTACAGTGATTGAACTGCTAATCTTAAAATGCAGATAGAAATGAAACCAACAGAAACATTTTAACAGTTTAATTACACAACACAATAGTGAGCAATAAATCACTAGAATGCTTATTGAAAAAAATAAAAAGTATGACACATGGTGATTTGCATGAACTGACTTTAATATCAAGATAACTGGTTTAAGGTTGATGAACATGTGCAGAAATATTTCCATTAAAAGTAAAATATTTACTAGAGTAACTTCACCATTGGTAAATAACGTGTTTCATTCACAAATTTTGATTAATGATCATTAATGATCATTATGTGATAATTAATAATATAAACGTTAGCACAAGCGCAAATAATTGTTTTGCTGCCTACGTTTTTTTTTCATCCTAAGGAAACATCTCTGTATTATTAAGGTTTTTACAGTGTATAAATAGCGTTAATTATAACAGTGTAAATTATTTTTAGCATGTGTGGAATGTCGGATAATGTAGCTTAAGGCAAAGGTCGCGATAAGGGCCTAAATAAGCGTGACTGGAAGCAACATCACGTTCATTTGCTGACTTATTAGCCAGCATATTTTTTTCATCAGTCAGCGCCTTCTTTTTCTCAAAGAAGATACGTTGGTGAGTGAGTTTCCCGATTTCCGTAGTTCCCACGTGAAATTTATTTCTGGACGAAGAGAACGAAGACATCGAACTTGAGAGCAATTCCACGCAAGTGTGATTCCAAAACTCGATCTGATTCAGTGACGAGGACAACGTTCAAGAATTTCAGCGGATAAAGGGACTATTAATCTATAATCGCATATAAAATATTTCATGGGTATTCAAGGAACACATAGTTATTTAGCAGTTGAAAGTACTTTTTGTTTTTCGTTTTAGAGAGATAAGGGGCTTTGTTTATTTATCTCATTGTTTACGCGTAATTTTTAATGAGGAACCCTGTTGTAAGTGCTACACAAAGAGAGACAATTGCCTCCAAAACATATTGGAGCATATAATCTTGAGCTTCCCAAATTTTGGTAGCGTCGAGATTTAGAGAAAAATTTCATCACCACGATTTTTTAAAGTGAGCTACAGTTACAATTTACCCTATATTTAATCGGGGTACACAGGAAATTCTACTGTAGTAACTAGTTTAACATACGCATTTGTAATAACGTTGCAACTTTATTCACTTGCATTTATTAAAATTAACGAAAAAATTTTATAGATTCGTTACAACTTACGTACCTACCGTTAATGAGCACCAGGTTTCGTTGCATCTTGTGCTAACCTAAAGCTAGGATCCACAGCTGTGTCAACCGTGACATTTAGGCGATCTTGGAATAAATTGAATGCTACTCGACGAGCAGTTATCCCACTTGCAAACATCACGCATCCAGACACACGTCTCACCACTGTTTTCGATATCGTTCACTGCAACCCATTAAAATGTCAGTCATTAATTATGCTTACACAATTAGGGGCGTTCAAACATCCATACTCATTCATCCAATTAACACCTAGGCCTAATTGGAATTTTCCCGCTACAACAACTGTTGTCGTTATCTACACACATGCACGCTGCAAGACTGATAAAGTGTTAATATCTCGATTTGGAACTCGTTTCTATCTTGTTTTTCGCTTATTATGGGAAACTAAAATGCTTAATAATTAATGAACCGCTCTGAAATCTCAAAATATTAATTCACCTTCATCTTCTGTGGCAAGAGAGCTTTCGGCGGCTGTAAAAAAGACAATTTAAATATTCCTACCGAAAGGGTAGTAAAGCTGATAAATTCACTACTTAACTTACGTGCGTTATCGGCGGTAGAACAAACAATTATACAAATAGAAACCCACTCCTCGTACCCTACATTAAATGTTACTCATTTATAGTAGGATACGAGGAGTATCAACTATCATATTACCGTTACATAAACATTTCAAATATTTATTTTATCTACTTGAAATCGCCCTTTTGATCATCCATCGGTCCGTCTCTAGTGCCTTTGATAGCTCTTGAGCGGAAACCTTTAGAAATGCAAAACCTTGTATATAGGGTACTGCAAGAAAGAACCTAGGAAAGAAGCTTGTTGAAACGAGGTTTGTAACGGTAGCTTGCTTTGCAGTTTTAAATTTATCGAATATGTATTTCATACAAAGGTGAACACGAGGGCGTATAGCGATAAGACGAACGTATTGAGAGAAGTCTGCCCCGTTATCGGTAGATTATTGGATGACACGACGCGCCATTGTCCCATTGGCTTGGGTCCGTTTTGTCTGCGGCCTTGGACATGTAGAAAATTCTAGAGAGTAACGGTTTCACCGCTAAGTTTGGCGGCCATAGAAATTCATATTTCAAGATTAGCGTGGTTAATATAAGTGAAACTATTAAGGCTTACCTGTTTCCAAGTGCCTACCGTGTAAGAGCTCGCACAAACAACGCTTAATAGAGGATATAAAATATTCGACGCAAAGTTTTGTAAATCCCGGAAAAAACGTAAATCGTTCGTGGGTCCGAATTGGAGTAGGGCCATATTTTAAGCCCATGTATAAACATGTGCTGATAAAACGTCGGAGGTAAATACAAGGTTCATTATCTTGAAAGTTCCCATACTACGAGAGGCAATGTTGTGAAAGAGTAAGTCACAAAAGGGTTTTGCGATTTTAGTTGGAGGGAACTTTTGTCAAGGGAGGGCCGTACATTGTACAATTTGTAACTTAAAGAAAACACCCACTCCAGCGATATCTGTAAGTTACTTTAAAATTTTGAATTGTTTAAGAGGTTGCAGCGGATGCTTACTTAAGGTAATCATAATATTCTTAAAGGAATCGATTTGTGAATATTAATTGCATAAACCAGATTTGTATTGCGTTTAATTATTATTATTGGATCCATAGAAAGAAATTTGGTTATTTTATATTATTATTATAAGCGGAAAGTTAGAACTAATACGTGCCCACGGAATAGGGGTTGTATTTTTTTTGTATTTATATGAAACAAATCAATATTTTAAATCAGAAAGAGAAGGAAAGGAGAATGGTGGAACTGGATTGACTTTAGTTTGTCAATTGCTTATTTTGGAATTCGCATTTATTCGTGTACCACCAAACCAAAGCGTCAAGTTTTGATTTTTAAATTTTAAAAAAAGATAAAAAACCTAGGAAAGAAGCTTGTTGAAACGAGGTTTGTAACGGTAGCTTGCTTTGCAGTTTTAAATTTATCGAATATGTATTTCATACAAAGGTGAACACGAGGGCGTATAGCGATAAGACGAACGTATTGAGAGAAGTCTGCCCCGTTATCGGTAGATTATTGGATGACACGACGCGCCATTGTCCCATTGGCTTGGGTCCGTTTTGTCTGCGGCCTTGGACATGTAGAAAATTCTAGAGAGTAACGGTTTCACCGCTAAGTTTGGCGGCCATAGAAATTCATATTTCAAGATTAGCGTGGTTAATATAAGTGAAACTATTAAGGCTTACCTGTTTCCAAGTGCCTACCGTGTAAGAGCTCGCACAAACAACGCTTAATAGAGGATATAAAATATTCGACGCAAAGTTTTGTAAATCCCGGAAAAAACGTAAATCGTTCGTGGGTCCGAATTGGAGTAGGGCCATATTTTAAGCCCATGTATAAACATGTGCTGATAAAACGTCGGAGGTAAATACAAGGTTCATTATCTTGAAAGTTCCCATACTACGAGAGGCAATGTTGTGAAAGAGTAAGTCACAAAAGGGTTTTGCGATTTTAGTTGGAGGGAACTTTTGTCAAGGGAGGGCCGTACATTGTACAATTTGTAACTTAAAGAAAACACCCACTCCAGCGATATCTGTAAGTTACTTTAAAATTTTGAATTGTTTAAGAGGTTGCAGCGGATGCTTACTTAAGGTAATCATAATATTCTTAAAGGAATCGATTTGTGAATATTAATTGCATAAACCAGATTTGTATTGCGTTTAATTATTATTATTGGATCCATAGAAAGAAATTTGGTTATTTTATATTATTATTATAAGCGGAAAGTTAGAACTAATACGTGCCCACGGAATAGGGGTTGTATTTTTTTTGTATTTATATGAAACAAATCAATATTTTAAATCAGAAAGAGAAGGAAAGGAGAATGGTGGAACTGGATTGACTTTAGTTTGTCAATTGCTTATTTTGGAATTCGCATTTATTCGTGTACCACCAAACCAAAGCGTCAAGTTTTGATTTTTAAATTTTAAAAAAAGATAAAAAGAGATAAAAGGCCAAACTTCCGCAAGGTAAAGATATTTAAATTTTATTACTCCGGTGTGTCGGCACTTTTTATTGTGATGAATATTTTAAATAATTAAATTTGATCAAACATCTTTCGTAAACAGCAACACTTGAATTAAAATTGCCTGAATTGTGATTTTTGTCCATAATACCCTTTCAAATTACACATGTACCTGAGTTAAGCCCTCTTTCAATTAAAAACACCATACTGTTTCTCAAAGTTTCAAGTATTGGAGTTCCAGTCGTGAAGCAGTAAACATGTCGATATATTAAGGACTCTAAAACGTTTACATGAATTATATTCACAGAAAGTGCTAAACGTAGGTCATAGAGGGGTGATGAGAATTATGATCAAAACTCTTAATTTACGAAAAAAAAATCTCTTTAACCGAAAGAGTTTTCAATTAGTACTATACTGCATTTTCCGTAAAACGCATTTGGCGTGATCATTTAATAATTGCAATACCGATCCGTTTAGGAAACATATTACGTATTAAATTTGAAACAAACTTCCCCTCTATGTGTATTCACTGAGCTTGGGAGTCGATCGAAATGTGTACATAAATGAGTTTTGGCTACGTTCTGCTTGGTTAAATTTTGTAGGTGTGGTGTGCTGAACTAAATCGCGAAGTATTGATTTGTAATGCTAGTCTTCGGTAATACGGTTGAAGTGTCAAACGTAGGGTAATTGACAAGATACCTACGTTCAATTTTCTGATAGCTGCAATTATTTTCAATTATAATCCCGTAAGTGCGCAGGTGTGTAAAGTGCACGCACTAAATTATGTCTATGGAACGAGTAATGCGTTCGTAAATATTCCCAAATTAAATTATCGAGTTCGTCTATTAATAACATGACAAAAATAGCCTTGCACTATTTAAATTATATTTATTTTCGTGTATTTATCGAATCCTTCTAATTATAAAGGCGTGGAGGAAGTCGGGAAGTTGCAGAAGAACTACGTGCGATGAGAAGTTCTGAATTGGTTAAAAATATCGTAACAAAGACGTATCTCTAAAATTAGGTGCAGAGATGTGTGAATATTTCAATTTATTATTTTCCGTTGTGCCAGATAAATGAAATTCCAAATCCGTTTACATTCAATTGCTTTGTACCTACCCAGTGTAAATGAAAATTGTTTGCTCCTTTGCATTGTCTTATCGTAGTCTGCCGCATATAGCAATTAATAATCAAAAACGTTTAAAACCATTAAATAGGAAGAAGTCAATTTTGTCCAATCTTATGCAAAACTCGGTAAGGTCCTCAAAACTTCCAAACTCGAGAACACTCGATTTTACTATATAAGCAAATCGGATTGCGTTACAGGGCAGTTCTAATTTCGACGCCGCAGTAATAAATAGTTCGCGATGTTATAAATTGTGTGTTCGTGAGTGATTAATAACATTTTACTGTTATAAATCCATTCAATTCAAGAGTGTTATGAATTTATTGTTAATTACTTGTAAATAAATAAACGACGTAATTAAATTTATATTACTTATGTTATTTTTTCCGTTTTCGATATGTTCTCTCTTACCACTGAAAATTA